CCTGTAAAGATGATGTGTCTAGTTTCTTCTGTAGGGCTCTATAAATTGTTTGTTGCATATGCAGTTATCTCAAAATATTTTCATTTCCTTTATGAGACTATCATTTGAGAAATTATTAATTTTATAACTATGACATGAAGTTGTAAAGTTCTTAATTCTTAATTTTATTTTTTGGAGATTAAAGAATTTAAGGAAAAGGAGGCTCATAAGTCACATCTGGAGACTTCTGTTTTCTTTTAAATAGTTAACTTTCTTTTATATCATGAACTAAGTGCCACATATGAGAAAGTATGCAAACATGCACAGAAAACTGATAAGCAGTGCTACTTTTTCTGCCTTAAAAAGGTTGAATCAGCCACAGAGCCCCTACAGCTTTTCTTCAATGATTCACTTTAATGGTCATTCCCAACACTGCCATCATGACATCACAAATATCTTAAATCCAGTCACTGATGACATTAGAGTACCACTGTGTTACCACATCAGCTCCAACATCCCTTCCCTTTCCATTAACTTGACAAATTAGTTTGGGCTGCAGAGTTATATTCAGCAGATGGTATTACAGGATGGTGGTAACAGCACATGACATAACAAAGAAGGGCTTCATTTAGAACTAGGAAGGAGAGCACAATCAAGAATTACTGGTAATTTTGGATTCATTAATTCAAAGTCAGTTATAGTCCTCTGACAGAGAGTGCACTGATCACTTAGCTGGTTAGTAGTAAAAAAAAAAAGTAAAGTTATCGCTGTACCAGGCCGTGAAGGCCCACAGGGTTGTGAGATGTTGAGGGTCGCACACTATCGGCTCAAAGATGGCGGTAAGGTTGTCAGCCTTATGTGCCAGCCGCACTTTACTCCCCAGGAAAATTATTTAATTAATTCCTGGTACTCATTTCTGTTAGCTGGTTACTAGATGTACTGAAAATAGCTTTTTGGTTCAATCACACTAAAGCAGAGATTTATTACTGCTCCAAGATGCAGATGCACTTCAGTTTTTGTTTATAATACAATTTCTACAATATAAATATCAACTAGTAACATGAGTGCTATAATTAACTCCAAACTGCTTTGCCAAATTTTCTGTAAAGACTCACCATAAAAAGCATCTCTAGCTCATACACACCCCTCTTTCAAAACTTCTTTGCTCACATTCCACTACCTGACAGGCCAAAACTCTGCCTGTCTTGGACAGGCTATTGATTTCTTACAGATTCAATGAACAATGTATCTCGCTGGTCAGTATTAAGCAACATTTGACATACTGAGGGGATGAATCCAGGGAAGTCTGGCATAACTACAGCTTACGATCCAAGTACCTGAACCTTACAAGCAGCAGGCTGTACCCCAGTAGGGTCAAGTGATAAGAACCATTGCAGTATTGCTGTCTGACTACCTCAGATTCCATTCTGACACACAACATCTAATGGACAGGATGCTGGATCAGACTCAGATATATTTTAAATGTTATAGTTAAAAGAAATGCTGTCCCTACTGGGACTCAAACTCTTTTTGTTCAAATAGTAAATAACAGTCATTTTACTGAATGGGTTGTCACAGCTAATTTATAGCATTACACCTTACAAACAACTTGTTCATAAAGTAAGTCGTCTTCTGGGATCTTGTGCCAGATCCCAGAAGATGACTTTCTTCATAGTCATCGCCGTGAAAACTTCAAAACTTACAACTTGTTCATAGTTTGCCTTTGGTGTCAGCCATCCTAGCTAGCAACCAAATATATGCACTTTTATGAATGTACGTACTGTTGATTCCTCATCATTAAAAGCAAATGAAATATTCATTTTACTTCATAAATATTTTTATGATACAATCATAATGTATATAATTTCAATATATAAAACACTATATTCTAATTTATATAAAATTCAGCATAAGAAACATTAAATGCAGACATAAGTATTCAATATACTATTGCTACATTTGAACCTCTGAACCTACAAACTAGTTACTGTACAACTATAACTTGTAACTCAATAGTATATGACAGAATATTCAAACAGCATATAAATTATAAATATCATAAATCTTAATACATACATTAAAAATACTACTCAATCAGCCTACTCTGCTTAAGAACTGTTTAAAATATAAGACCATGAATTTCACTTTATTCTATCTACATACTGGAATCTACTGTTACTGAAAAATAAAATAATTCAAATACAGATTTATCTCTAATGCAGGACATGAAGTAGGGCATAAGTATTGAATTCATTGGCAGAAAAATTGAACTCCAGTGTCTGAAACATGGTGAATATTTGGGATGATATTCCCCTTACAACTTTCAGCCAATATGCTACATGTACATTTTTATTTACTGTGTACAGCCAGGACGCTGGTATGAATTTCATACTTTTTTCCTGTTTAGGCTGAAGATTCAATTAGAATACATATCACAGGTAATGTTAATAATCTCCATGTCAAGTGTATGAACAAACACTATGGTGGATTTATATGGTGGGAAATCTGCACTCTAATCAATACCTGCACCCTTTTTACCTAATTGTATTTTCTTTTCTTTAAACTCTTTGCTACAGTTAAAATGGAAGTAAATAAGCTAAAATTCATTCTGCATCACAAGAAAACATTTCCTTTACAGTCCTTCATCAGTCAATCTCAGGCAATATCTGTAAAAGAACTTATGGAACAAAATGCTGAGGGAATTTGTTAAATATGATGTATAAATACACGTACAAATATAAACTTCATTTAACTAACCTTTCCTTTTTCACGTGTCACAGCCATGCAAACTGTTGAATTACAAAAAAGAGCAATAAGAAGAATATCCAATCACAGAAGTACATTATTAATATCAACATTACAGAAGGACATGCAAGACAACTCTGAATTCAACTTACATATTAAAAATAAGAATGTAAAGGTAACTCTTCCAAAATGTTTATTGCTGCTATAAGGTTACAAATTATTTTATAGACACACAAGGAGGAATTTCTTCTTGGATTGTGATCCTCTCTCATTTTGGTATCTATTTACCAAACTAAGTGGTGTCATATCCCAGATCATAATCTTGATACTCACTGTGTCAGAATCTCAAATCTCACAAGATAGAGTTGGTTTATTTAAATTATATGAATCTGTATTTGATTTTAAAACAGTGCAATGTCACTACTACGCAGTAAGTCCAAAAATTCTAGCCTCAGTACTGGAGCTGGGCCTACTTTGTAACTCATAACATCTTCCTGAGCTATTTGCAGCATCAACTGGTTAAAAATTAGAGATGTCTGAAGGCAGGGGAAGAAACAGTAATTTTAACCAGTTGACATGCCTCAAAGCCTGAGAAAATCTGATCAACTTTAGCCACCATGAAAGCTTCAGATCTCACTTCTCTGTAAATATATCTTTCTTCAAATCTAACTACTTCCATTATTAATGCAAATGTTACTAACTCAATCATGTAGTGTAACTTGGTATGAGGATATTTTAGGGTATAACAAGATAACTAGTAAAAGATACAAAAATTTTAAGAGAGTACCAGAACATCTCAACAATGAAATGCTGCAAAGTGTGAAACGTTAAATTATAATTATTTCCAAATATCCTTTGCATTTTATATGATAAAAGCTTCTCGAACTTAACACCTGTTCTCTCGCCACCAAATTAGCATCCTCAAAAATGTTCAGATAATGGGGTTATTGCTTAAAAGAAAAAATTCTGTCATTCTCTTAATCCTTTAAAACAAAAGTTTACCAGTAATACTAATTTAATATATATACCACACAGAAATTTACATTTTATGGTAAGGTATGTGCAAGGCCGTGCCATAGCTCAAGTAGTTAGTCACTGGCTTACCACAGCGGCAGCCTGGGTTCAATCCCGGGTCTGGTCAAGTGAGATTTGTGGTGGACAAAGTGGCACTGAGGCAGGTTTTCTCCGAGCACTTTGGTTTTCCTGCCAATCTTCATTCCACCA